AGTTGGTATCTATTGCCTTGCACTTGTACCATCGAATCAATTACCAAAGGTAGGTGACTGTCGCAGAGACAAGGGTTTTTTTTTATTTTCCTATTTGTAGTGATTCATATCAGTCATTTGTAAAGTTAGTTACACTCCAATGACAAGGGCAGTGAGACAATGGCTGGGGACGGGCGGTTGCTACCAGCGTCATTGGTGGAAGGGCGAAGTGGGATGTGGCCAGATGCCCTGTCACAGCCACCACTAACACTGGCAGTGACCGCCCGCCCATTTCTGTCGCCCCCATTGCCTTCAATGTTTTGTATGACTTGCACATGGGCAATTGACCGTTACTCCTGTCACTGCATTATACGGAGTTCGTGGTCGAGAAATATTGATAAACTCGAAGCAACTTGCACAAAAGCCGGTTGCGCGGAGAAAACCCTCAACCCGAACGCCTTTTCTCTTTCGCACCTTCCTTGAAATGTATTGCATTTGATGATGCCGAGACTCTCTGACATAGACTTCATTGAATGCAGGCTGCACGAAAACCGGATGAGGGGACACCCTCACCCATAACGAGAAAGCCGGATGGCCGACTCCGCTCCATCCGATTATTGGCAATATGTCTTTAACGAAGTCGATGACAATACGATATCCCCCTCCCACCACCTCACCGCCTACCAACGCCTTTGCCAAATTCTTGGTAAAAATTTCGCTGTCATCCGGGAGAGGGGCAGGGTGCTCAGACCAATACGATCAACTGTCCTATTTTTGCCGTGTTGCCAACCAGGGAAGGTGAGGGGGATATAGCGCGCATGAGACGGTAAAAATCGCAACGGGGAAGCCAAATAGACCCTTCTTCCCTGATAGGGTTACTCAGAAAGATGCCGTATACTGGTTACAGAGCTAACTATGAGTAGTGTTTTTGTGTGTTTCAAATGGGAATTCGTGTCCTGTTCTTCCATATGCAGTTTGATATTGCTATTTTTAGACCCCTCTCGGTGGCATCCACGTTTCTGAGACGCGACAACGTTTCGAAGCCGGCGAACTTCATCCATCAACACTTCTCATGTGCCCACATAGCTGTGTGATCAATCTTCCCAAGCCTCGGTCAGTTTTTTTTAAACCTTTTTGTGAAGATTCTGGGTTTTTCGAACTCTATTTTTTATTAGAGGCGAGGTTAAATAATGAGCCACCGCAAGTCATTTGAGAAGCCACTACGATTCCGAGTGCAAGTAGAATGCGTGCCGCGTCCCAAAATTTGATTGATCATCGGCAAAAACTTCATCCTTTGTTTTTTATTAATTTTTCCGAGGATACATCTATGAGGATCATTTTAGCGAAGTTCAACCTGATATCGGACCAGCATCGATGCTTCTCGGAAATCTAGTCCAAGGTGTCAGAATTGCAGGAGCTCAAGGACGCAGTCTTGGATGTGATGATGATATGGTAAGTTTCTAGGCTATTAAAATAAGGATAGCTCTTTAATTTCTTTTTTTCAAGTTAGCAATTGTGACCCCTCGATTTGTAGAGCCTGCTGGAAATTCTACGGTCACGAGCGTCAACTTCACCTGATCACAGAGATTATACTCTGAGTTACTTTCCAAAAGTCCAGCAACAAGACACGGGCGACATGTGCGGAGCTCTGCTTGAAGTGAGTTTCTTGCGTATTTGTTCTTTTTAATATTTGGTTTCAAATAAATAAATAACCGATTGTTTTTATGTTTTTATTTATTTCTTGTTTTCCTAACTGTTGTCATGCTTTTCTTTTCTTGCCCTTTCTTCTTCTTCCTCATTTTCCTTTTTTTTTTTTGCTTTCCTTTACACTATCCTGCACACAATTCCACTAGTACGACTCCATGTAGAATCTAGTTTTTATTCGCCATAAATAGTTGCCGTTAAGATTCTTCGGTGCCCTGATCAATATAATATCGGTTTTCCGTGCTGGCGCCAATAGGTGCCAGTTTGGCGCCACCACCACTTTTTTTCAAGAACTTGGCAAATGTATGCTTGGGGTAATTAGGGGTTCTGGCCACGAGCATGACATTCGTTTTAGCCCTGACGCCTTTTGGCGCCAAAAGCCGCAAATTTGGCGCTGCTACCTTTTTCACCGAAATCAATAAGAACTGGCATAATAGCGTTGTTTAATGTCCTGATCACAAATATGGCATTCATATTCGTTCACCAGCGCAATTTAGCGCTCTGCTAACGGTGAGCTAGGTAGAGGAGTGATCCTTTTCTCTCCAAGCTCAACCATAGCAGAGCGCAGGTGATCATAGTGCCCTTTACTAGTGCTAGTGAATGAATGCCATATTTGTGATCAGAATGCCAAATAACCCAAATTTGCAAGTTTTCATCGATCTTCGTGATAACGAAGGTGACGCCAGTTCGGGTGCTTATGGCGCCAAAAGCACCCATTCTGGCGTTAAGGGGTATCATATGCATGATCGGGGCACCGAATAACCTCTATAGTAAACTTTCAGCGGAATTTTCCCTGAGTTTTTGGAGTAGTGATGATAGATTAGTACCCGCATTCTTGCATACGTTGTTTCCTTAACATTGCATTGAGAAAAATGTTCGAAGATTGAGTTGGAGTCTTTTCATTTTTGATTTCTATGGATGTATGTTTAAGGAGAGCAGAACGAATTGGGGCTTTTCCGTTGAACGAGGTCGTCTCAACGCTGGCGACCATGTGGCACTGATTTTCTCTCCGGGCATCGACTTCATTGCGGCTTTTTACGGTTGCCTTGTAGCTGGTGAGTCCATTTGCTTAGCTTTTCGCAAAGCTGTTGCGATCCGATTATACTGGAGTTTCGTTCATATGGCTGTAAAAACTGAATCTGCTGGAAGATTTGTACATGCCTGCAAAGGAAGTTTTATAGGTGTTGTTCCCGTATGTATTCGGGCACCATCGGCAGCTTCCCTTCAAACCACTCTGCCATCTGTGAGAATGATTGTCGATGTTAGCAAAGCAGTAGCCATAGTGTCGAATAGTGCAGTTTGCAAGTTGCTGAAGCGTAAGTAGACTTCTACTAGTACCTATTTCGCCGCTAATTATGCTCTCTTGAGGCGGAGACCCGTCCACAGGACTTATGCCACAGGCTCTGACAGCCTCAACCCCACGCCAGGGCTGTCTATAAAAAAGAGCCATGACACGTTTATTGTTGGAAATAAAGATGGCCAAAATTGCTCACGTGCTTCTGGGTATGAGGATGCAGCAACCGAAAGTGACTCAGCTCTGTTGAAGAAGGGTCCTTTCACGGGCGGCTGGTTCTCTCTGTATAGATTAATTTTACCCGCGACCACTGCCATTTTTCTATCGATTAGTCCCCTCAGAGTTAAAGCAGGCTGATCTCACCGAGCTGACTCTTTCGAGCTGCCGTATGCATTATCGTTGACATTCAACAGTACTCCACATTGCCTTCATGCGAAAAGGAAAGCCAACACAGAACCCTCAGTAATCTTTGCATCGAAATCGCATGCTAGCTGTGCTAAGTCCTAAAAATGATTTGCTTGTTTTGATTATACCCCTAATGTCAAGCAATCAATCATAGAACTCAGTTGTGTTTTGTTCGAAGGGCCATATTACAGGATTTCTCGTTGAGTACCAAACTGGCACAGACTGTGGCCGTGAATCCGTCAGCGTGGGGTGGTGCTTTGAGCATGTGTAAAAGTTTAAAAGTGAGTTATAGCTGGGTAATAGAGATGCCACTGTTATGTGGTGTTCATCGTTTGAGGCTCTTAGTATTTTGAAAATTATCAAATTCGGTGAAACTTCAGGATAGAATGTGGACATGTGAGGCAGTTTTACCCTTCCCTCATGTAGGCCCTTTGTCTGGATCCATATTCTGGCCTTGGCTTCGCACTGTGGTGCCTTTCAAGCATCTACTCAGGTCATCACACGATTCTCATTCCACCGTCCGAGGTGAGCACTAGTCCGTCATTGTGGTACTATCCCACCGTTTTCCACATTGAAAGTGACCTAAGAATTTTTTAGTTTTTATGAAAATTTGCTTTTACTGCCACATTATTTTAAGCTACGCCGATAACTTTGCTAACTACGGGCGTCACCGTTTTGGTCTTTGTGTACAGGAATTAGCATCCCAGGTGCCTACACTGAAGGAGAAAGGAGTCAGTCTCTCGTGGTAAGTCTTTACGTCTTGATTTTGTATTTTGTAGTCAAAATTGGATAGTTTTTTGGCCTAGTAGGTCACATCTTCTCATTCGATTGAAGATAATGGTGTTCGGAAAAATAGCTGGTCTTTGCTCGTGTCAGTGGTGTTTTTATAGGCCTGTCAGACTAAACAGATCATTGTAGTCCCATACCGTCTATTTTACGACCTCATTTGAAGAACCCGATAATCGGTGAAACCTTTCATTCCGTTCAAAGTCTTGAGGAACACTGGTATTAGGTTTGTGGTCCAGCCAGGTCATGGTACGTTGAAAACGAATTAACTAAGTCCTCATAGCAGTTGCTACCACGTAATGTTGTTATAGCACTGAAAAAGAGTTTTTGAGATGAGAGATAAAATAAACAAAGGGAAGGGGGGGTCAGTAAAAAAGACACTTTGTTTGTAGAGTGGATCATCAGTGTTCACGTCGCGTAGTGTGGAAACTATATGTAAGGCAGCGTTCAGACTTCGCGACGGCAGCACTTCGGTCGCGCGTTCAACGCGGTCGATGCAGTCGAAAGCATGCGCATCGATCGCGTCGAACGTGCGACCGAAGCATTGCCAGCATTGCCATTGTGAAGTCTGAATGTGCCTAAGACCCATGGTAAAACGTTCCAAAGGTGTCTCTCTATTAGCACGGGTAAATACTCCACTCCAGCTTCCACGGTCTCGATAAGGTGAAGCCATCCGTCGTTGCCGTCCTGCTCAAGCGTGCCTACAGTACTCAAGACAGCCCGAAACACCGATTTCTGTGATTTTTTCCACGATTAAGTCACTTGTGTGCAGGTTCCTAAAGAGTACCGCTATAATGGTGGAAGAGACCAGCTGTCCAGCTTTCCGAATAAATTTGGTTCATAATTTATTTTTCGTGACTCAACCCGATAGTCACCCTGATTCGTTGTCAAGCGCCATAAGGGGGCAAGCACATCAGTCTGACATCTTCCAAGGTCGCAGGGGCTCAGGCCAGTAGTTGTAGTGATTGCCCAATTCATTTATTTACCCTATCCTTCTGCGCGAAAATGTTTAAAAGTACACTCCATGACCAAAGTATCTATTAGGTTGGCGGGCAAGTTCTGTCACACTTTTCGAACTCAAAATACTTGCCCATTACCTGAAGAGGGGTAACCGGTAATGTGAGCACTTATACATCAAGGAGTGGTCTTTCTATTAGTACCACTCGCTTGACTCCTGCTTCTTCTTCTTCTGCAATATGGACAAGAATGTTATCCGCTACCATCGGCACCGACCCCTCCAAGCGCTTCCTCAAACTCTTTCTTCCACCACCCTGACGCCAGCATGATAGCTGCAGATGCCAAAATAATGGAGCTGAATAAGGACGATGCCCTCAAGGACAACCTTCCACGACGCTAATGCTTCAAAGCGGGAGCCTGCAGTTTTGATGACGAAGTGGGTTTACATTGCTCCTTCTAACTGCAAGTTGCCTCCCGTACTTAATCGTTATGTGGACGAGAAAACCTCGATAACCCGAGTTCAAGTCAAGATTGAGATGATGTCCAACTTTGCGTCGCGCCTCCCTGCATTGTGAAGCGATGGCATCCATGAGGTGCTCAAAAACTGGCAAGGACCCCGCAGTAACATTGCTGTACAATTTTGATCTTACACGCCTCTCTATAAAAAGAAAGCCTAATTTGAAAAAATGTGACAGAACTTTCCCGCCAACCTAATACTTTCTTGCCCCCCCCCCCCCACTTCTCCATTCTTCTGCCTGTGCATAAAGCATTGGCCGTTATGTGCTGACTGGTTTGGTGCAGAATTGTGTGTTGAGCCAGCCTAGTAAGGGTGCCCTGCGTGCGATCGCTGCGACTCTTATCTTCTGAACTAGATCCTAGAAGCTCTCATGCTATCTGTGGTATCTTGACAGGTTGCATAACGACTTCGCCTAAAATCTACAAAATCTTGACATAATGATTTTGTTGGTCCTTGCGAAATAATAGTTGTTTCAGCGGTTGTTCAGTTTTAGACTTTCAATTGAATGATGTCAGCCTTTTTAGTGTTCGAACGTGTGTTGTTGTTGCTGAAGAACGACCACGTGCAAATCTGGTGAACGCCTTCTCTCGGCTGTTCGCTCCGCTCGGTCTGTCACCGCGAGCCGTGTCGACGTCATTTGGGTGTCGAGTGAACGCTGCGATTTGCATGCAGGTGAAACATATCCGTTAACTATTACACTTTTGCGAGGGGATTGAATTACAGAAAACGTGATAGGAGGAATGTGATTTTTGTTGCCTACTTTCCTGTTTGTGATAGCGATCAAGTTGCAAAGGGATAGAAGCACAACTTTTTTTTTGCAGGGAGCGTCAGGTCCTGATCCAACGAGTGTCTATGTGGATGCTAGAGCACTACGAAATGATCGAGTGACATTGGTTGGAAAAGGCGCGCCTCACAGTTTATTGTTGATGGAAAGTGGAAAGGTGAGTAGATTCCGACACCTCTCACCTTGAAACCTCGGTATTGATGTGGGAACGTTATTCGGCCAACGTTTCCATCCATTCCTCGGTTTCGTTTCAAATTACCATTTTTGAACGCAGGGCATGCCTTGAATGTTACTCTGGAGCATTCTCACTAAATATTAAATCATACAGAAACGATTGCAGACTAGAATGGGGCTAAACGAGCTCTTCAGTTTGCGTTCCAAAGAATGTGGAGCTCGGAAAAAAGACGGACCGGGAAGAGAGACTAGTATTTATTTACTACACGCCCAGGATGGACATGTGAATAACTGGAACAACGAAACAACGAAATCGGTGAAGAATTGAACATGAAGAAGGCAGGGCACCTCCGAACGTGTACGCCGAAAAAAAAAAACTAGAAGCAAAGACAACTGGCTGGATTGTCACTCAGATACTCATCTTCTTAGCCACGGCCCCCCCCCCCGACCCCTGCTCCTCCCTCCCCACCTCGCCCATTTCACTGACATTAAAGACAGCTCCCGCGATAAAAGTCTCATGGATAGCTGCTTTCCAATTATGAAACAGTAGCTGATAAGTAATCTCCCAAAGAAGAAAACAGGCAAGAAGCGTCCTCCAGAACAACATAAACAAAATCGCTCCCTCACAGTCACACCTCCCTGCGGTCTCTGTGCAACCCCTAGCTCACAAATCTCTCTATCACATCTCGCAGTAGTTGATATCATCCAGTGCAAAAGAAAAGACGCGGGTGCTGAATTTTGGGATTACGGTAGCGCACGTTTTGTGCGTCGAGGTTTTGCATCACGAAAATTGGCGTCACTCGTGCTTTTTACGCGTTTCACCTCGCGAAATGAGTTGAATTGAATGTATATACCTCCAATGAGTAAACTGTAATGAAGGGAGCAGAATTATCCAGGGGCATTAGCAATGCCCGCCGCCCCGACTAAGAACAACTGAGTGGCCTCTGTTGGAGGACATCTAACAAGTAAGGCGGTCCAACTGAGCAGGCCTTAGAACTAGGAACTTACAAGCGGCTGTAGCTCGCTTCTCTCTCGCTGTGCAGACGAATAGAGTGGGACAGTCTCTAGCTTGGGGGCTGTACTACTTGCACAAGGAAGGACGACCATGTACTACTCGAGCGCGGGGGCTGTCTTTAATGAAGAATGGTTACTGAAGACTGGTTAATGCCCCTCTTCATCTTTTTCAAAATTACTCCGCTTGTGTGTCAAGGCATTTTGGCTGCCTATACAAGGGCTGAATTTCGAAAGTGTTGTTGTACCATTTTAGCCCTCCCCTTGCCTGTCTCCCCCTTGAGATTCATAGCATTTTTGCCTCCAGTGTCATATATACAATGTCTTTTCAGCTATTACCAGGAGTGAAAGTAGTGATTGCGAACCCTGAGACACGAGGGCAATGTGCTGATTCACATCTTGGCGAAATCTGGGTGATTATCTTCATTGTTTCTCAACTTTTTTCTCATTTGGTTGTATTGGAATTGTTCCAAGTTCTGATTGTAGTTTAGTTCAATCTCGATTATTCACCCTATATTGCTTTTGGCTAGTTTCTTATTCTTTTCTTTTGCGCAGGTTTCATCTCCGCACAATGCCATCGGATATTTTACGGTCTACGGTGAAGAGACTAGCCTTCATACCGATCATTTCAATGCCCGCTTGGCTTTTGGAGACACCATGACGAAGTTAGTCTGGGGGTGTCGTGGATCTATGAGGGTTTTAGGGTTTCTGATCTTCAAATTATCGACCATTTTCCACGAAGGATGTTGCTTTATTGCACCGTTGCCACTATAGCTTTTCGTGTGGTGTTTAGATTTGCACGCACCGGCTATCTTGGCTTCTTACGACAAACGCAATCAATCACTGAAGATGGTGAGCTGCACGATGCGGTTTTCGTCGTAGGAGCTCTTGAAGAAACGTTGATGCTCCGTGGAATGCGTTATCATCCAGTCGACATCGAATCTACAGTATCACGCTCACACAAGTTTCTCGGGGACTGGTAAGTGCTACAACATGCCGGTGGACAGTATCGTTGCCAAAATGATTTGTCTTCAGTGCGGTGTTCACATGGAGTCATTTGATAGTCGTTGTCGCCGAGTGTACTGGAACAGAAATGGATGCGCTGGATCTGGTGCCAGCTGTGACGTCATCAGTAAGTTTTTTTGTAGTCATTTAGCTCTGAAAATGATCAAAAATGGTCAAATGGTCCTGTAATTTGTAAGTATAAAGCAAGTTTTCGATGACTGATCTATTGAATGTCTGAAATTTGAGTGCATTCTCTTGATATATAGACGGTACCACACAAACTCCTCCGTCATAGCCTGAGTTCTACTACGTGGGGGCAAATGCCGTTGTAGACCTTGAGTGCGAGTTTAACTTCGTAACTCAAGCGACGAAGGCGTTCCACTGCTAGTCGCGGCAACTTCTAGTTGAATCACATCTGCCTCGATTTTTCTGTCGTGCATTGTTGCTTATTCGTTAAACTTGAGTATCTTATTCATGAGTATTTAGAGTATCAGACAGATTATCAAAAAGATTTCATCACAAAAAGACTGGTCGGGTCTATGTCGTAAGGCGCGATCAAGTCGCCTTTAAAACTGTGGCATGCCAATCAGAGTTTTCTCACTAACAAGGGAACCCCAACAGGTCGACCCGGCCGTTTGCAATGAGATGTACACATGGACGTGTCTTGAGCCGCTGAATCCAAATCTACCCTCCGTTTTTGCGCCGAGAACGATTCTCCTGGATCGAGGTTATGGGCTTTTTTTCCACCGGATTTACCACGCAACAGGTCGTGGGATCGAATCCCTGCTGGGCCTTCACTTTTTTGCTTCCTGCGCAAACGTGGCAAAATGTGGTTTTGCTTTCACTACTACTTCAGTGCTCACCTAATCTTGCCTGAAGAAAACTTTGCGTCCATTTATGAATGCGCCTAGGCACCTTGTAGAGATGAAGCTTGTAGTGGCAGGAAAATATTGGGGTGTACAGGTGCCCGTCGTGCGCGATACAGGCGTTTTCACGCTCAGCGAGTGCCATATTCGTGTTCAGCGGGTCAAAATACCTTTATACACAAGTTGCTAGCCAAATCTGGCATTTTGACCTGATTTCCATAATTGAACCATCCATGGGTTAGTTCAGCTGATGTTCACACCTATTCAGCTGCAGATACATTTGCCTGCACAACGCCTTGTCTTGCACCTTCTTACGCATTCATTTTGTTACTGCTCCAGTTTTCCTGGTATATAGAAGAAAATTCCGGCCAAAGACAGGCAATCGACAAGAGACTGGCCCTGGAACTAGTGGTGACCACCATCGGATCAACTGTAGCCGGACTTTTTGAAGGATAGGGTCAAGACGTATAACTGGGCTAGAAACCTGTCCCCAAGGGTAATTTTGCTCCCTGAACACGAATATGGCACCCATTTGACGTTTGAATGCATTCTAGACTTAAAAGAGACATTCCCCACAGAATTTAAATGCAACTCCGTTCAGAGAATCGTTCTGCAAATTTCGAAGGCAGATTCGAGATCAGCGTCCAAAACCACGTCTAGTGAACTATATTTCATTACGAATGGCCACTTGGACCTGACGACCTTCCCTAGTAGTAGTGGCGACCTTCTCCATTCCTCGATTCGAGCTCTAGAAACGGTCATTCTCATTGGAGTTCTCATTCAAGTTTTCAGAAGGTGTAACAGATGGAGCAATGATCGCTTCTATTGTCAAATAATCAGAGATTCAGGTCAACTGGCCAAACAGAAGATCGGTTTTCTAGTGGGGACTCATATGGAATGTTCTGAACAAAAGCAAAAATGTCCAGAGTGTCAAGGATTCCAACATTCGACACCGTGTTCCTGAATCAGTGCACTTATCCACTAGGCCATCGGCGACCTGCCGTGAGCAACCATCCCTCTCAACTTATACAACGAGCAAAGATTTGATGGTCCGTAACTCCGTTCAGAGAATCGTTCCGCAAAAACGGAGAGTAGATTTGGATTCAGCGGCTCGAGATACGTCCACATACCTACTTCTCATTGCAGATGGCCGGGTCGACCTGTTGGGGTTCCCTTGTAAGACCAACTCGTCCAAAACACTAAACTAAACTCGTTAATAATAAACTACTCGGTTTCCCCAAACTGATCATTAGGAAACGCCTTGTTGGCTGAAACGTAGGAGCACTGAAGCTAACGTTGACGCCTGTGTAGGCCTCCGAATACAAGGGAGAGTGAATCAGTGATCTGGACGAGTGATCCTTCTTGGAAGGCGTGTTGCATTGCCTGCCATGGCACATTATCGGCCGTGTGGTCGCTGTAAGTGACAGTTGCTGAGTTGTGCAAAAAGACGAGTCCAATCCAGGGAGGAATCGAATCTGTATCTCACTCTTATCGAGCTCGTGTGAAGTTATAGTTAGCAGAGCAAAATGGTCCAACGATTAGCATTGGAGCACCGTTGTTCACAGTTCTCGAATCCTCAAAGGCATATGTTACGATAATTTGGTACTCGGTCTAAAATGCTAGCAGGGTGCTACATAGAGGGAAAATGGCGAAAAAACGAAGTGAAACGGTTAAAAACTTGCGAGCTACAAGCCTTCGCTCTTCATGACTTACAAAGCATTTCCGGACGAGTTTCCCCGTAGGCAGCGTGCCAGTAACCGCTACGGTGAATACGGCTGCACTGTGTTCTCATATATCCATGCAGCATCGCGGCCGCTTCATACCAATCCCTTCGCTTCATATTTTACTTCGCAAATGAAGCAATACGAGCATCAGTACGGTCGTCCATTTGTGGGCGGGCGGGCGCACTAGGCGTCCGGGTTGGTTGCAGTTCGATAGGGCCTTGGAGCGCGTTCAGACTTCGCGATCGTGCGATTGGATCGCGCGATCTTTCTTTTCTCCTCGTTCTTCCTTTGCTTTGTCACAAATGAAACAGGAAAAACCAAATAAGTCAGCAACCTCTCTTAGAAGCCCAGAAGTGAAATACGACTCTCCCAACACCCCAGCAGCAAGCAAATACTACCTCCTCCCCACACTTCACAACGTACCTGAAACAAGAAAAATCAACTATCGGAAAAGTTTTTAGGCCTAAATACGACCTCCCTCTTCCAGCGACCAAACGCGATCCCCCTGTTGGAGAAACCCGAAAAACGATGTGCCCTGACACAGATCATGCGTGTTCCCGGTACTCTCTCATGTTAGCTCTCGCTTCGTGGCACCTTTTTAGTCTGCGCTCTCCTGTTCTCTCGGTACTTTCCCACATACCAGCGTGGGAACGACCTTTTCAGCCATCTGCTACTTTTTCTAGTACCATCCCACTGTTTTACTTAACTCTCCGTTGCCAGTTCCCATATTTCTTTCCTTCTTGAATCAGAGCGCGTTCAGACTTCGCGATCGTGCGACCCTAGTCGAGCGATCCGATCGCACGATCGCGAAGTCTGAACGCGCTCACAGGGGTAGCTTCCTTGGAAGAGGCGCCACGCAGCGCTTGCTCGAGGGCGCGGGTTCCGTCCTGCCAGGCGTATTAATCCTACTCATCTTAGGGATTTATCGTGCCAATTGCCTACAGAATATTCAATCCCTTTTCCAATTCATTTCTGGGATGCGGCACGCATTTTACTCCCGTTCATGACTGCAGGCTATTAATTAGTGTAGTTATTGTTTATTGGATGCGAAACTTCTATACAATGAGTTGCGCGTGGCTGCCCACCACTCAGTGTTTTCGTTCTCTCAAACCAATCCGGTGACGATTTCCTCATCCTCTGAGATAGTAGGAAAGTTTGGCTACGTGGCACGACCTTGACTGTAGTCCCGGCCCACGCGTTTGATGAGCGAACGGCTCGCTAATACACCACTTCCGCCACCTCTTGAGGTTGTCTTGAGGAAAAGGGTGAACTGCTTGTGATCATAATCTTTTTAACTTATTTCTTCAAACTTTATATGAAAATTCATTACTTATTTTCTTTATTTTTTTTTCGTCCGCTACTAATGCAACGCTTCACTCGAACAGAAGAACTTTCTAGGTCCTTGAAGAGCATTATCTCAATCGTAGGAGTCGTGGTTGTTGTGGATCCGAACACGATACCATTGAACTCCCGAGGTGAGAAACAACGCCATTTGCTTCGCGAGAACTTTCTTCATGACCAATTGGATCCGATTTATGTTGCTTACAATATGTGATATGACTGTTTTCACCATTTTGTTGCTTCATCAATCCTTCATGAGATTTTCATATCATCAAATCATTCACATCTTCATGTTCTTGTTGTTACTGTGTAATTTTTATTTCTTTAAGAAAGATTCTTATTTGTCGTCATGGCTAGCGCTAAGGCGTTTATACTAACACTTGTACGTTGTAGAAATGTGTGACTCGAGATTACTGTGTATTGTTTCTAGGGTATAACTATCCAGTTAGGAATTTTTTTTCCGAAAGTTTCTCTTGATCTGTTCTTCTCCTTCTCTCGGTTCGCCGCTTGCTTAGAGCTCCGATGCCGTGTGCGTGTACATTTCAGAGTGTTATTTCGATTTTTTTTTCTAAGTTATCAGATTGTATAGTAGTAGTATAGCATACATTATTTTTGTTTTTTGTTCGAAATCGATTATCGATTATGTGGCTGAGCTAAGCGCTTTCTCTATGCCAAATCTGCGCGACTTCTTGCCTTATTGATCAGTATTGATTCGCTGTTTTTCCTCGTATTTCTTGCATTGTCGTTGGTTGTTCGTTCATTCAGCTGAACTTCACACACACAAACATCCATAAACTGTATGTAAATTTGCTCAGTCGTTTTGTGATAGTCATGATGTTTCCTTTTTCTCTAATCATTCAATGCGTTCTTATCTTTTTTTTGTTTCTCGCATCGCCCGGAAATACTATGTGTTCAACAACTGCCGTACCTTATCTATTTTATGTTCAAGTTATTTTTTCCACAAATCAAATTGCCGCCTCGGTTTTGCGCATTAAATGTTTCAAACCTCAAGATGTTCTTGTTTTGGGAAGCTAGCTGTCTGAGAGGTCAGCCTGCTGTACAAATTGGCCGAATTTTCTTTGTAGCGCTTTTATGGTTAGATCCTGCAGTGGTTCAGTGGAATTATATATATGCCCTTGAGTAAGCAGCGAGAATGACAATAATAATCTATATAATACCTTTATTATGTATATGAGATGAACCTACGTCTTGATTGCGAC